GTCGTACATGGCGTTGTATTTTCATCTGTTCAAGGTGTTTTTGTCGTTTAATTAAATTTAATTACACTTTGTCGCTGATTTTGAGACAATTCATGGCGATTATCTCGCGTGCATTATTTATGTGGTGCAACTGTTTGATTTTTATCGGCGCGAGTAAATGCACTCCCATTCGAACTTACTCACCTATGTATAGATGGCATTCAAGGTCGATTAGACAAGTTATGCATAAAATTTTCACGCAAATATCTTGCGATTTGTTTGTAACACTGCTGATATAGTAAATATTTAAAATTGAATTGTTATTGATAGTTGCAATATCACTTTGATCATTGATGCAGTTATCTTAAAGCAAATGACAATGAACTTCCTTTCGAAATGAAATTTTAGGTATCATCGAGTGGTGTTTGTTGCTAAAAGTAAATATTCGTTTATTGTACGCATCGACGGCTTATTCCGCAAGCCGGGAATGAATATCGTTCGGTCTGTGTGCAGTGTGCGAACTGATAAGCCGTTGCAGCGCGTTATCGGTCACGGAGAGTGCGAACGACGCGTCCGCAGCTTCTGCTCGATCGCTTTTCGCCAATCGGACGGATCACTCAGGCGACTCGCTACAAATAATCGCGCAACAACCAACTACTCTCCGCCTGGATATATCTGGCATCTGGTTATACTGGTTTCCAGCTTAGGCGGATGAAATTTTTCGCTTTAATTTTGCGCTGCGCGACCGCTCCCTATCACTCGGAGAGGACGCGCGTACGCATTTTTCGCGTCGCGCGCGCACGTCGTGGTTTTGTTTCAGATGCGTTTATTTTAGTCTAGTTTTTTTGCCCCCACACATAACGAAGCCGGGAGCCATCCATGCGCGACCCCACGACGGTCGCTAGTAAATTAATCGAGTCGGTAGCTGAAGTGGCTCGTCGGTGTGTGCTGAGTGCGCCGCAGGAGAATGCAATTCCTTCTCCTTTAGCTCTCTGGCGTCGCTTTGCGATGGCCATCGGCGTGCGGTTGCATTTTCGCGAGCAGGCGCCCGAACGTTGCGTAACGTATTTTCGCGCGTCTTGTGTGCGTTTGTGCATGAATGACGAAATATGTAAATGTTCAGGTGAGGCGGCGTGTTTCTAGCATTATTAACTCAACAGGTGCTTTTAAACGTTGCTGTCTTTCTCGTCGGATGTGCTCGCGGCGCTCGCCTATGAATGCGAAAACGTCGCGTAGTTATGTGTGCGTGATTATGTGTGTATGCATGCATGGATCTTAGTGTATGCGATGAAATTGCTTCCACTCTTTTTTTGCGTGCGAACGGCGAAATATAATTGTGCATCAACGGCTTTTATTACGATATCCATTTCCAATTATAGTGTGTACAGAATTTTTTGGTTATTCAATTGTGCCCACATAAAAGATTTTTTAGGCTTTATTATTACGTCACACTTATTAATTACGCGAAGATGCTCGTTCTGAAATTATTAAGTTTCGACACATTATTCTCTAGTTAAGTTAAGCAAAAGTACATTTTAAGTGCAGATAAAAATTTATTGTTAGCAACTTGAATATTATTTAGTTAAATTTGTTTTTTGCTAATAATTTTTATCGATTTACATGTTAAATTTATCAAAATATTTTTGGAAATATCAGAATTACAATAATAATTATTAAATAATATTCAGGTATTAAAAAGTTTGATAAACAGCGATTCCAATTACTTACTGATATTAATTGTGTGTTACTAACTGAACAATTCACTCATAAATGTTTCTGCGTTAGTATCATTGTGAAGTTAAATAGTTACAACACACAAGATACGACAATGTTAATGATTGATGTGCAAATTGATATGCTTCAGTGTGTTTCGACCAAAATCGTAAAATTGAAATGTCTCCGCATGTTGTGCGATGGCCGCATGCGATTTAAAGGCCCGCAGGTAAAAGTCGAACGCACGTCCGAATAATTTAAGCAGATTAATTACCATTGTTAATCAATGAAGTTAAGTCACACATATGCGTTGCAGCGTGTTCGATGTGTGCCACGAGCGCATTGCTGCATGCGATGCAATGTAATGCGCCCCGGTGGTGGTGGTGGCATGTTCTCTGTCGTCGAATGGCGCCCTCCTTCCACCATCCGACCCACCGCTCCCACGGCCCACGGGCGCTGAGGGCGAGTGCGTAGGCCGGGGGCGTGTGGGCGCATCTCGCCCGCGGGAGCGGCGTGTGGCATCCGACAGCGCTGCCGTGGGGTGGGGACCGGGCCCCCCGGGCTCGTAAGGGATGTGCGTGCACCTGCCTCGTCCCGTGTGCCACCCGGATCGATAACCCGGCCCCGGCGAACCGGCCCTCACTCGTGCACGCGCCGCGCCAACGTGGGGTGGCGGCGATGTTCGGCGCTGCTCTGCGTTTTACTAACACACTGCCGCCCCCGCCACCAGCACTCCCACCCGCCGCTGAGTAATATCCGAATAGTACCAATTTTTATTTCCACCGCAGCTTGCTTGTTTTGTTGAGGAAACAACTTGCGACGACGCGGCGCTTAAAAACACCATCGAACGCGAGGCGCGCTAGGTAGATTTACAAATGATAAGGTACGCATTGCAATATGTAAATGTTCGTGCGGGGGACGCGACACCCACATTGAAATTCTATATTAAACCCCCATGCGGTTTGCACGCGCTCTGTTCGCACGAAAAACGTCGTTACGCACTCCGGTCACGTGCAGATATGGGTTGCTTTGATGTACGTGTTGATGCGCACTGAAATGCCAACGAATTATATTATTGTCCTCACTGTTTTCCAACTTTCAGCGTGCAGTCAATTCGTTTCTGTGGTTACGCAGGTTTTGAGTAACTCAAGGTGCAATTTCATTAAAAATTCGAACTGGACGCTGAATATTTGCGCAGTTCAACGCGCCGAGCATCTGCTCTTGCCAATCTTCACATAGCAAGCAGCAAAAGCAGCACGGCAAAGAACCGCAGTAATAAAAGTTCGCATCCCGCGTCTTCGGCCGCGCCGCGGCATCGACTATTGGAACGCGGTTTGGACGGGTACTTAAAGATGATATTTGCAAAAAGTCGTCTTCTCGGCGGAGCTCTCAGGGACTCTCTCGTTACCGATTTCGCTTCATGCTCGTGATGCGCCGCGCACAGTTTCATAACTTCATCGGGTTATTCTGGTTACACTTTGGCAAGTAACTGGACGTTGCAGGCGATTTTTGCATGCATCGTTAGACGAAAAACGCAACATAGTCGCCGAAGACCGCCGGTAACAGCGCAAACAACACAAAAAGTAGCCCGAGAAAAGGCGCAACACAAAAAGAGGCATTGCGTGCACGACCATCTGGTGTAATTTACAGTTTAGTATTACCAGGAGTACCAGTATTACATTCGACATCGTCGGCGCGAAACGCACGCCAGCAGGACATGCCGTATACCCTTTTGATATGATTAAATTTGGTATACATTTTTTTCCACAAATAAAAAAACACTTATTTACCACAAAAATTAAAAAAATTAAAATTATCTATATCATCAGATTTTTACTTTAATATTAAACAAAAATATTCCGAACACTAAAGATTATACGTGGATAATACCACAAATTAAATTCATACGCCGTACGTAGGACTTTTTCGCTGCAGTTTCATCGCATGTCATATTTTCGTACACCGAGTGCAGCTAAGTAAGGCCGTGTTTGCTCGTGTGTGTGGCCAAGTGAAGAGACTCAAAAACGCGACTCTCGGTGGATGGTATCATTGGGTTTGCGGCGTGCCTCACACGACATCATCGACTCGAATTGCAAGTTGATACCGCCACTCGTATCCACACACTCGCGCTCACTTCGCCGTGCCATGCTGCTGCGCACAGATTTTCATCATCCGGCCGCCGCCGTGTACCACCGACAAGTAGGTAAGCGGGCGTTTGTGTGTGGGTCAACGTACACGTACGGCTCACGCTTCACTCCCAAAGATTTCGGAATTATCGCCGCCGAACAAAGCGTGCCGCGCGTTGGCGCAAACAAATTTAGCACGTGCGCGGCGAAGTGACGGAGACGCTTTCTTGAACGCTCATTTGTGCACCGGTTTTATTAGGTCACGTTGATTAAAGCACCCGACGCAGCAGTGTTTTTTTTTTCATTCGCGCCTTTTTTAAGAATCTAAATAAAGTTTGACGTTAATGGCTTCCACTGCGGTTGCACCCATTTGTAAATGTTGAGGAAGGTCACTGCAAACGGATGTGCCTCTTCCGTATGCGTATCGCTAATAGTAATGTCTATATCTGTATATGCATTCATTATATCCTGATATTATTGGCCGATAGAACGAAATTCTATTGTTAAAATTCAATGCCGCTCGATTTGGAATAGAAATGAAAAAGCGCGGTATTGGACTTGTGAACTTTTGCCATAAGTGGTCATGCGAAGGATCAAATTGCGCACGCTGCAAGGTTTGCGAAAGGTGAAGCTTGCGATCATTCCTGTGACCATCAAATTCCATAATTCCAATACAAAGGTGTACATTAAAAGACGTCCAAACAATAACAATTGTGGCTAAGTGATTAGATAGTCCATTTTTGTTTTGTTTGGTTAGTTAATTAAGAAACCGAAGTATTTTGCCATCATATTACCAATTCAAATGATTAAAGTGTTTATTGACGGGCATTTTTCTGGTCACATAGACAATGGAAGCGACGCGTATGCAGGTTACTTTTGTTTGTAGCGTAGATACCATAATAGAATGTGGCAGCCGTGCATAGGCAGAGCGGCGTGGTGAAATGACCTAGACTCAAATTGCATTCTATTGAAGTAACGCACACTCGAACTGCAACGTCAAGCCGCGATAAAAACCTTTAAATGTTTTCGCGAACGCAGCGGAATCAAGCAGGCAAGACAAAAACACGAATCTTTGCCTGATCCAAGATTCAAGGCTTTAGCTAACCGCCAATTTGTACGAATGCTTTTCGAATCGAATATGTTCAGAATATCGATTTTAATTTTACTATTCTATTGTTTCAGGAAAGCTTGTCAACTCCGGAGTCCTCTGAAAATAACGAAGAGGACCATTTTGGAGGTAACCACAACAATTTGTCCTGATAATCCAACATTATTGTAACTTCACACATGCGCTACGTGTTTTAAAAACAAACTTTCGGTTTCATACGATCGTGGATTACAAATTTAAAAAGTCGTACAGCCTGCAAATTTATATATAACCTCAAGTTAGCAGAGTTGGTTTGCAGTTCCGCACACTTCTAGACTTTTCTCACATGAATATATGAACCGTTTGCTTTCTTCCGCTGTCGTTCATTGTTGCGAAAAAGTAACAAAACGCGTTCGACCAAGGGACGGATGAGCCCGCGTTCTGGTATCGCTGCAGTAGCAATGCCACTTCTCTCAGTTTTATTTTTAATTGCCGTGTTCCGGTTCGTGATTACGCGGTAATTAAATCCAGCTATTAATTAGGCGTCTCCTCTGTTTTCCTTTTCTTGAATGGCGCGCACATGAGTGCTTACGTCTTTATTATATTTTCACACATTCGGACGTCTTTCTCACAACTACAACTTGCGACTTTTTGCAGTTTTGCATTTCTTATTATATCAGTATGATTGTTTGACTTGTTTTATTTTTAACTACCAACCCTGCTAACTAACACGTGTTTTGATTGATTGGCTGCTGCAGGAACCGGCATTATGAAAGATTCCGACAAATTCAAGTTGATGCTCTTGGCATGGAACTACCACAATCAAGCACAAGGTAAACACACACCCACACGCACGTTAAAGTCCAAATTATTAAAAAAATGTCGTAAACAATGAACACTTTGATATTAATCAGTAACAACGAGGACAGTGTTTTAATATTCTTGGCGTTTTCAGGTGGAAACAATAGAAATGGCACCGGAGAAGTTCCAGACTTGTCGAGCTTAGCCGGAAGTGAAGAAATGGCGGGGTTGTGGGCACAATATCACGCTTTAGGACTCGCCAAAGGTGGCAAGGCAACTCCACCAGCACCCAGAGACCAATCTGTAAGTTTATGTTTTAATTTAAACGCAAATTGCACTCAGTTGAGAGTTGTTCTATTTTTATTTGCATGTGTATTTTGCACCAGCTTTAAATATTTCAAGATTAACGATTTTTGCGTTGGGATTTTAGAGTCCAGTCAACGCTGAAACCGGGTCCGCACACGACGAGACGAGTTCAAGCGGCAACAAGGAGGACGAGGATGACGACGACGACGAGAGCGACGATAAGATCGACACACAAACGCACGACCCAGAAAGATTGAAGGCCTTCAATGTACGTATGCGTCGCATTGCAACACTTGCATATCGCTCCTTTTCATTTAGCACGCTGGCGAAATGCTCGCATATTGCGCGCAAACACACCCTGAAAAAAATGCAACGACGCATCGAGTGTGTTATTAAAGTTGCGTTAGAGTTTTGCATAAAATGCATTCAAATGGAACACACAGTTTGGAACATGTGCATTTATTTGAATATGAAATTCACCAGCAAGTCAACAAATGTTGTAGCTTTTGCACGGATTAAATATAACAAATTTTACTATCTTTTGTTACACGCGGCGCTCTTGCCGCCGACATATGAATGATTGATTAGGTACCGGTGTATGGAACTATTTATTTATGTAAATTGTATATCATTAGGCGAATACGTTTTCCCACTCGTCGCCAAACAGTTATGTGTTCTTTGTTTCCTTACGTTTATTTGATTAAATATTCACGTTGCAGATGTTCGTGCGGTTGTTTGTCGACGAAAATCTGGATCGCATGGTGCCGATCAGCAAGCAACCGAAGGAAAAGATACAGGCCATCATCGATTCCTGCACACGGCAGTTCCCCGAGTTCGCCGAGCGTGCCCGCAAACGCATCCGCACCTATCTAAAGTCCTGCAGGAGGAACAAACGTGCGCGGGATCCGAACTCCGCATGGGATGCCGTAAGTTTTACAGCCGGCCCACGCTTAAGTTGAGTGAATAATTAATCTTATCGCAGACCCGGCCGACACCTGCGCATCTCACGTCCGTGCAAGCTGAACAAATCCTAGCGTCCGCCTGCGAGAATGAGAGCCACAATGCGAAGCGAATGCGTCTGGGCTTGGAGCCCGTCAGCCAGCCGATGCCGCTACCGCCTGGATCATCCGTAAGCACGCCTCTTCGAATTGTCATGCGAGTGTTTGTTTATTAACGCGCTCGATGTTTGTTTTCAGGCGACCGACACGACGGCGTCAATTAACCGAGGCTTAGATTTTAGCACTAGCACACCGGTGAAATTGGAAACGGATGCCGTTTCCAGCGTCTTTCCGTCGTCCACCACACCTTCGTCTACACCGAACTCCATTAGCAAAGGGCTCGCGCTCACGCCAGACATTAAGTCAGGTTCATTAAGGTGCGCATAACAACATGAAGCTAACAGCGGAGTTATTTACTTGATTTTTGTTTTGCCAAGCAGCGTTTCGAGTGCTTTGGGTTCAAGTCCAATGAATGGCATTGGAATTGCCAGCACTGCTGGCTCGGCCGCACCGACAGCGATGTACAGACCAAACTTCTCACAAGCGTTCCAACGGGCAGGACCCTACCCGCTGTTTCCCGGTCAGAGTCCTTTCACTGCAAATTCCGGAGGACTTCTAACAAATGGTATAGTATTGTATTACTGACGATCTGAAAATATCTTTATTGTTGTGGTGTTTTCCCATGATGCTTCAGGTCCTGCCGATTTAAGTATGAAGCAGAAACCTCTGCTTAACCACAAGCTTAGCAGCGGGGAAATGGCGGCGGTGAGGCAACTGATAACGGGCTATCGCGAATCGGCGGCATTTCTGCTCCGATCCGCCGACGAACTGGAGCAGCTGCTTATACAGCAACAATAATTCATCGTGGACTTTTCGAAAACTATTTCTTACTTCGACATGAGCTTGCATAGTCATTTGCCATAAGCGAATCGTTTAGTATTGTTAATTGTTTTTCGATACGAGTAATTAGTAAAAGCACTGATTTATAAATGGGACGTAGGAGAGAGGCGTGTGAAATGCAGTAATGAGCACAGATACAAGTGTCTATTCTAACTACTTACTAAATTGTGCGATTGATTGAGTGTTTTTCGATTATTAGCAGGGTTAGCGGAAGGTTGACGGAAGTCGCGTGTACTTCTTCGACTTTTTTCTAAGTAATTATAAATGAATAATCAATATTCTTTGAATGTACAAAAGTTTCCTAAACTAATGAAGATGAGAATTATAACAAAAATTATATATATTTATTTATAAATTATAAAAATTAGATGGAGAAATTGATAAACCTAAAAAGATATTGAATTTATTACAGGGGAAATGTTTATTATATTTGATAAAAACTCTAAATGTTGAACGATTATATTATTTTAAAAAGGCTAATTAATAATATAAACGGTGTGTACCAAAGATGCTAAAGAGAATTTTGTAAATATTTTAAAAACTACACTATATTAACGAGTAATACAACTAGTATTATTGCAAACAACAAAATCTTGGAGACTATAAAGCGAAATTCATAACATGCAAGATCGCCGACGACTCATGTGTACATTTACGTTTTTGTAAACTTACTTACCTAGAGTACAAGTTTGTATTCTTGACTCGAATAATAAACATTTATATCACACTTACTTTTGCATTTGTCTGCAATTACTTAATGACTAATATCGAGGCAAAACTACAAATAACTTTTTGGAGGCAAATAATTCTAGCGATCTGAAAAAAAACATGTTTCTGTGATTGTTGATAAGTGTTGTAGATATTTATATATATTATCCGCGAGATGAAGCGATATGGAACCACAAGATTTACAAGTAATTACTATTTATATTCTTAATTTCTGTTTCAATATAAGTAAACGACAAACACGTTTTGTATTGGATTTACGAACGATCAGTGGAATTAATGTATGTATATTTAACATTCCAATGTACTTCTCAATGTATATAAACGATAATATTATTGATATTAAAATATTAATAACATTTCCGGTAATGCTGCACTGAATTTAATGAAATTCATTTCACCGAGCACTAAGTACCTTCTTGGAAATAGTGTTTAATATAATAATATTTGCCAAAAATACTATAAAAGTAAATTTATTTCTCTATTTAATAAATCGTTCCCATTGCTCTATAATTTTTACAAAGTTCACAAACGGTTACATACAATTTCAAAGGGTGTATTCTTGGTTGCCTATAGTCAAATCAAGAGTAAAACTGGTTTGACACACTACTTTGATATCAGAAATACTGATAGTGCATATGGCCGTAGATCCTACTCAGTACGCAGTCGAAAGTATTCCGCACCGGTAGTGTTTTAATGTGGAGGGCTGTTCCAAGGGAGAGATTTTCTCGAGGGTCGTCAATCTACCATGGTCCTACTCAGTTGTTCACAGTAAGTACAAACTTAACAAATTTCGGTTGCACGTTAGAAACATATATCTATAGGTGTGTGATGCGCATGTGTTGGTGTGATGTTTACCACGTAGAATTTGCAATTCTTTATCTAGTGTTATTGTATTTGGAGTGGAATTCTCCACGTTCTTTCCATCGTATTCGCATACAATTCTTAGATCGTAACATGTTTATCATTGTAATTTTTAAATGAGATTGAGTAAACGCATTTTTACATTTATGGAATGAACGGATTTTCGGATGAATTTAAAAATCGTAAGTGACTATAACAGGATTCTGTTAAATAGAACGTTTTAGCGTATAAGCGTATAAATAAATACAACTGAATATATAATATTGATAAATTGCAACGAAACGAGAGTGTATACGAACACTCGCAGTTACTTTCGGAGTCAAGTGCACACCTGATGCATGTCCCCAGGGATAGTATGGGGCTATATGGAGTTACATTAAGAATATGTTACTAAATATTTCAATTTGTCAATTCTGCACCATATACTAGCAATACCATTATACTCCGATAATATGCAATATATAAACGTCTTGCTCAGGGAAGCCCTACACAACTTTAAAATTATTAAGGGTATAAATTAACTTAGCGATAACATGATGTAACAAAACTTAACAAATCGTCTCCAAGAATCCAAGCTTTATACATGTTCCTGGAATACGTTGATTTGTATGCGTTTTCCGCAAATTCGTTTAATAAATATCGACGTTTATAAATAAAAGACGAGCCAATACCCGCAGCGCCCTTCCAACCAACGAGCCATGAACAAATATTACACGAAACGCATGCGAGCCGCGCTCTTGCTTTTATTTCGTCAAGCCGAAGATTATATTCGCCGAGGTGCGCACGCTAAAGAAAATTAAGTTTCACGTTATAAATCTTTTGAGCAAACATGCAGCACTTTCTGCGTTCATGCACACGCCTCGCGCACACAACTGCACGCGTGAGGGGTGTACGTAAAAATCGTAAAACATTTTATATTTTCATTTGTTGTGCCGTATCCTTCGCGTCGCAGAGCCGAAGCTTGTCTTCGATGCGAACGCGTGTCTTTAATGCCAGCGAGAGCTGCTATATCTCATTAGCGTGCATGAAGTGCCATACACCTACCCATATTAATAGTGCCAGCCTTGCCCATATAATAATAATACATCGTAAACGTATTTTACACGTGCGGTAAATATATCAAGCGCACGTATGGTGGAGATGAACGATGCACGGTCACGTTTAGAAGTCGCGCTGGACACAGCGGGGCAACATTCGCGCTCGACGCCGCTTTTTTTCACCCGACGAACGTTAGCCTCGCCGCGCGAGCTTCAGCTCTTCAGAACTTCAGAGCTTTAGGACTTTATCCGATGCAATTCATAGCTATGCAGTGGCATGTGCAGAAAAACATACCAATTCTTTCTGTTTATTTGATACTAATTATGATTAAATCCATCCAAAATTTAATTTTAAAAATTATGCAACCAAGTAAACCTAAAAAACAAACTGAAAATCATTCTGGGAGTTAATTACGTATATTGTAGGATTTTAAGAGTCATCTTCATGCAAGTATCAGGAAGAAAATGATTATATAACTCCCGTGTGTGTGAAACTAAATCAGTACGTCGCCGTAATCTATTTTTACATGAATCTAAAAATCCATTGCGATTTGCAACGAGTAGCATACATGTAATGGAGATCATGGGGTCGGTTTGTACCGTTGTTCTGGTTTACTATGCTCGAGACAATCGCTTCCCATAAGGTTGCATTATATTTTCATGCCGAAAACAATACGCTGCGCGTCGATTGCGTCACGGTTCATTACGTGCAGAGGCACGATGTCAAAACAGGTACAAGCGTTTGGGACGCGCTAGCAAGGCGTAGACGTACCGTTTTTAATTATTACATAATAAATGGAATAGACATTATGGCCTTAATCTTTTGCTGCGCGCGTAATGACGGATAGTGACGAAAATTAATTAAAATCAGCGACGCAGCGCCGCGCTCAAGAAGAGATGCAACTTCTAGCATTATTTTGCAATTGATGTAGATTATAATTGTACTATAATATTCCGGCTAGAAAATAAAACTCTCGCTGCGCAAATGCGCTAACGTGTGTGCAATTTGTCTATTCTTACGCGATTTCGCGTTGTTTAAAAATTCCAGCTTGATGTGGCAAATGAAAGGATGCTTCTGCATTTAAAACATTGAGAAATTTAACAGATTTAATTACGGAAATTACAATAGAAAATTTTTCGTTTTTAAAATGGATTCCTGCGTAGATTTTACGTTTAAACGCCAGCGGAAGCAGCGAGTATTAAAAAGCTTGTGCAATTTGACGAGTTCCTGTTAAACATATTCACGCTTCACGTATTCTCTTCTTTTCAGTAAAAATCTACGTAAATAATTGAACAATATGACCATTGACCATTACACATTCACACAATAATCCTCACATCATTCACTGATTTTACGATATCACAAAACAAAACACACACATAACGTTACCAGACCAATAAAACACAACACTAAATAATACAAGGAAGAATGAAATAATGGCCGATAACGCCGAAATTTGTTGTCGCGCACGGGCCACCATGTATTGTTAACACTTGCTTTTAACATCTTTCACAAGAAGCAAAGATATCGCTCGGAACAAGCGTCGTTGCAACGCAAAGCGATAAAGGAAAGATATTGAAGGCAGGTTTATATGCCCACGCCAAAAATTGTCGATGCGAGATAAGCGCCTTCAATGTTAGAAGAGAGAATTTACAGTTATCAATGTGAGCTGCACAATTACAATACATTACAATGTTTTAAAATCTTTCTGATGTAAAAACCATTTACATAATTACGTGGTTTCATACTTAACTATAAACAAGGATGTGTCACAATATTATGACAAACTGTTAGACTTTTTTTTTTTAAATTTACCTCATCGACAAAAGAATAAGGATAATAATAATATTGGCATTGCCAGAAATTTAATTGCGTGCAGAAATGACCTTAAAGTTAGTTTTTAGGCGGTTTTGTTTAATTTTGAATCGAAATTTAATTCGATAGTTCCTTTTTGTGGGCTTTGTGTTGAAACCAACGTTGCGAATGCTGTACAATGAAGTTGATGTGACATTGTCAATTAAATCCCGCAGCAAGCAAAGTTTGTAACCCTTTGAGCGTCACGAAAATTTTCAATTTAATTTAACAGAGCAGGACTCCTACAAAACGATAAAAATTTTATGTTTGTGACTTTAATTAAAATACTAAAAAAATAGTTAATTATAAAAACGCTTTGTTTTCTCTGCTGGTGAAATAAAATTGCAGCGGGTACATAGTAAATTACACATGAGAATATTTTTTGTCTGTTAATGGTACTCTGATGTTGGTCATCGGTCAGTTGAGCGAACAAAAACAGTCGGAAAACGCAGTCAGTCAGTCAGTCAGTGTTCAATAACAATGCCAATTTATTTTTTGCGAGCTTACCGCGGCGTTTACGTCTTTGGTCCAGCGGCAGACGAGCAGACGTCTATCGAATGCGCGCGCGGTAGCGACGAAGAATTCTGTCGTTAGCTGTTAGTTCACCGCTACGATTCGAATGCTTCCACTCCGCAAACTCGCGCAGAGTGTGAGCGCGAGGCGCTCGGTGTTCGCGACGTACCTCCGCAACCAAGACGGCGACTCGCCACTCAGTCAAACGCTAACCGTTCGCGACAACGGAAGCGAAACTCGAAACTCTTCGACGCTTACACACCACGCTGGAACTAAACCTAACAGTTTCATAACAGTGTTTTCTCATACTCGCAGCCCGGTTGCAATCTGGTAACAGACTTTTAATGACCGTTTTCGAAATTAAACATTTGTAAATTTCGCGAGTAAACCGCTTGTGTGCGTGCATTCCGGTGTTTTGCATCGAGCGATCTTCGATACTCCAATGTCGGTTTGTTCACCAAAACAAGCACGGCGCGTTCAAGTGCGATAAGAAGTTTTGTTTATGTGCAATTCTCAAGGAAACCACAAAATTATCTCGCCCCGTGTGTTGACTATTCTCTGGCGCAATAAAAGTGTGAAATTTATTTGCCTGCTAGATTTTAGCATAATCCGCCAACTGATTTGAATTAAAAATTGGTAAGTCCACTCAGCTGTATTATTCTAAACGTTGGTATTCTTTTATCTTTCAAGTTGCTTACTAATATAGGAAATAATTATTATTATATATTGAAGGATATGACGTCAAGTTATGGCTATAAAATATTAACTTCTTTGTGGTATTGTTTAGTGGAGCGTAGAGTAGTTAGAAAAATACTAAACGAATGCTCGAGGAGACCGCTTTTCGATTACATCCTAGGACACCTACGTGCGAAATTTAAAGCCACATTAACGCATTCACCGAACGTAATGACTGCTTTTTTTTGTGCTTGTGCGAAGCAAATCCTTCTTCGTGATTATTCCTTTGTGTGTAGGTGAGTGTGGCGCGCGTCTGTGTATTATAATATGAACAATTAAAAGCAGATGAGTGTTAACAATGCGAACAAAACGAGAAACTGATACGCTGTGGAAAAGGTTGAGACACAATCGAAAGTTACAATCGGATTGCAATCGATAGCAATCGCTAGTTGGATGAAAGATACAAGATAGTTTCTCGTCCATTGACAATGACACAATACGTGCCAATGTGTCAATTTAATCGCCGGTAATTCCTATGCGATTACATTGCATTCAAGACACGTTAGTAGCTTTTCCAATTGGATTGGGAACGGTTTAATGGCAAACGAAACGAAAAGTAATTAATCGAGAGTAAATACCTTAATGCCTATAAATTTTGCGTAAATATTTTGTTATACAACAAAAATATTGATTTTTGTGTCAGACATAATTACACAACAAAACGGAATGTGATTTTTTGGAATGTTGATGAGTTATCGTTAAACTGATGATAATTTTAGCGCGAAGGTGACATTGAATGCATGATGCATTAAAACTAGCGTCAATTTCGAAGAATCACCGTCATCGATGGCGAGATAACCACGATTGGTATTCATATTTGTTTCTGAATTTCCATTTCACTGTTTGTGGAATTCCGAAACTAATTAGTATTCCATGTGTCGGCTGGTTTTGAATTTACACGTTTTGTCTACACGCTGAATGCTTTTCTCTGGTTCCGCGGAATGATATGAATGGTTAGATCATAGAAACAGATTTCCAGTGCGTAGCGACCAGACCTCACGCAATTTGTCATTTAAACTGTTTACAATTTTTGGTTGAATTTTTGTTAATTTGAAAATCATGTTTTTGCTTTATGAATAAAACATATTTCTTGTTTTGATAATAATTAAAAACATTCGGTAACTCTCGTGATTAATTATTTAAAAATATTGCGTAGGGAAATTCGACTCAGCACCAACGATTTATATAAATTTGTTTACGCATAAAAATGTTTATAAATTAAATACATTTACGTTCTGGTTAGGCTAAACGGTTTTAAATTGATATCTATAATTTGTTGGCGCAATAATTGCACATTTCATAATAAATGAGATTTAATGTGTTATTATCGGTGTCATTGCATTTCGCAAGTCGCTTAATGGAGAGAGAACAACGCCCAAGAGCATATTAATTTATTAATGCAAACGATTAAAGCGACTACGAATGAAACAAGAAAGAAATTCCGGGCCGCGTCTCGCGCCGCGCTAAATTAGTTCACTAAACAACGACTATTTGCCACTTTCAACTTCCAGCATCCATCGGCATGTGGCGTGTCCGCGAGCGGCGCATAGTGAAAATTTTTTACTCAGCAGCGTGCGCGCGTGCATAAAGAAAAGGAAACTTATTACGAACCGGACAGGATGAATAAATATATAAATATCGAAAGCGAACTCGTAATGCGAGATTTTTGTTTCTTTTCTACTCGGCGACTGCTGCGATCGTTTGCTATTATTATATATTACCACATATAACGTAACTAGGTATATATCTATATCTATACCTAGAACGGATTGAATGCCGATTGGATCAACTTCCTTTCAGACGCAGGACGCATCCTCTCGCGACGCCGGCATAATTTTATCTTATTTTGAGTCATTTCGCTTCGTTATTGCGAAAGTGCATGAAGACATCAGTGACACGTAAATGGACACGCAGATCGCGTTTTATTGTCCGGCTTGATTTGCATGCGCGCAAGGATTCCCTAGAAACGTGTGCGCATTCGATTGGGATTTGTGTAAATTCTCGTTAAAAAGTGAATCGGAATCTTGATGTTGGGAAATTTGCTCAAATGCTTGGTTTTACGCCATCTTTGTTTTGTAAATTTACATATTGCAACATCATGTGTGCTCAGTGCGCAGGTAATTTGTGTGATTCTAATTTAATTAACTAATTGCGGGAATTAGGTCGCGTTTAATTTGATTTTTCTCAACAAATTGTGTAAATTAAAAAAAACTTAAACTGATTCTGAAGAAGCAAATATTAATAATAATAATAATGAATAAATCACACAAGAATATTGAATAATAATAATATATAACAAGCTTATGACATTACAAGACGTAGGCAATGCAAGAGATTATAATATAATTATGGTAATATGCAAACGAACAACCAAAAGGAAATAAAACTAGAAGCAGAAAAAAGTGTAGCACACGCTCTGGGCAAATAACAAAAAAACAAGTTCGAAGGTAATCGAGGTATTGTTTCTTCTCAGCAGCTATAAATAATCCGATTTTTATGTGCAAATTGACAACGCTGTAACAACGTTTGATTTATGCGCGTCGTCGTGAAACACTGCGAAATTTTTGCGCACCAAAAGCACACACATACTCAGTAAATTCCAACTTACATTTTAGCGAGATGAGCACCGAAGAAGACAGAACACATAATGGTATAAATCATCATTTTACATGCGCTTAATTAAAATGTTTTGCTTCTTTTATAACTACGGCGACGATAGCGCATATATCCCATAATGCGTCCCGAGAGCAATTACAGAAAATTTTCCTGCGGTATTTACATAGCCAAAAGGCGTTTTTTGACGTACATATCCATCGAACACTCGCTGCGGTTGTAAACTCGATGGCAAAAGAGTTTAATCGTTAGTGCGGATGCCTCTCGCGTACCTACCTGTACGAATTAATCTCATTGTTATTTATGCGCGCTGCTATCGCAAGCGCACAGCCACGCCGTAATTACATTAATAATCGTACGACAATAAATAATTTGTTGCTGCATTGGTCTGATCCACCAAAGCGCGACGCGTCGCAATGGTAGCCGAAGATAGCAGCGGCCGGTAAGCAAATTGAACTCGCAACTCGCGATAACTTACGATTGGACGCGATGCTCGACTACATCCGCGGCTCGCACGGTGGTTTGTTTATAAGCGAGTTCACTGGACCTTAAAGAGTCAATTATAATTACGAAGAAATGCATTTGCTCGTGCTTTAATATTGTGCAATTACAAGTTATAATTATTACTGTTTTGTGACTGTTGCGCTCGGTTTAACCGGCGCTTCCACCAACACACACACGCGACGATTAAGTGTTGTATGTTTCAATGAGCAAAACGGACAAATGAACAATGAGCAATTAGAAATAGGCACACCCCTTTTGAGCATTTAAACGATGGATATTATCAGTGCATTACTCGCTAGTTTAAGCGTATATTATTCCTACGGTTGTAATTAACGTTGCATAATTAATATCCATCTAGGTAGTGCTCATGCGTGCGCAGTATGAGTCAACGAGATATTTGGTTATTACTTTCACACCGTGCGCATTATTACGCCGCAAGTTCAAGCAATTAGTAAGTTGGTAAGAGGTTTGATGCGTTGGAATTTCGGTGAGTCGTTGTTGAAAAATTTAAACAGCTTCGGGGTATTAGTGATAGTTGAAACATTCGCCAATTGTATACGGATCAAACTAGACTAGTTATTATTTATCACGCGTGTCGAGTGTTTCTGCGTATTTGACACGCGTTCATGTTGTAGGCATTATTTTATTTCTTCTCGGAATGAATATGCATATTTGTGGGGAGGTTAATTTCTTCAGGCTTTGAAACAGAATCTTATTGGTTTTATTAAGGTATTATATGTTCTTACATTTTACGGATCATTAATTTTTTAGGTGGAACTTAGTGCAATGTGCAAAGGAGTTAACAACTGTTTTTTGTGGTTAATTTTAATTTTTTGAATGCAAACGCATTGAAAATTCATGAAATTGCGTTTTGTATTTTCCTCAGCGTTTAATTTTGAATATAAAGGACTCCTGAAGCCTCGCAGGATTGATTCATGACTTGAAATTTAAAAAAAATATATATATGTTAATATAATCCTAAAACGCACAATAATCATATTTCAAGTAACTTTATAGCTCTTTGAGAATTGAAATACAAGAAACTAACTGGAAACCTCCTTAAATTACAACCATATGAATATCCGTAGCTAATCCACAGCCCACCTTGTTCGTCCAAGAGTTCAAATGTCCAGAAAGACGAAAACGAACGAGGAAGTAATTAGTATTTTCGCTTTCAGATTGCTTTATGATAATTGCTTAATTAATTTATTACTTGGCATTTTTTCAACAAGTTTATAATTTCATGCAATTAATTTTGCTGAAATCGGCGTGCGCATTAGCAATTTAAATGCTTAATTCGTTTCTAAACAAATTATTCGCAATTTTCAGAATCCTAACGTTCGCAGGATTGCTTAATTAATTAAACGCATAATACCCACAACTAATTGATATCCCAAAGTGATATGTCAAAATGGCAAGCGGAAAATACCACTTTAACTTGGTTTTACCTTAAATATTATAATATAAAATAAAAACAATAATTGGTGATGTGTGCGATGTTAAAACTGTTAGAGATTCGTTTGAAGCAATATTAGGCAATATCATTTTATGTTGTGTTTTTTTCGGGATCCGATTAAAGTGAAATTAACCGTTAAACGAGAATATTATTCAAATTGTTCACATGCTTCGCCAGCTAAATACTACAGATATATTTTTACATAATAAGCATCGATTTCAAGAGGAATTTCTCCATGGCCGCGATATATCTAGCGAATGATGCATCGTTTCCAGCGAACTGTTCTTAATTAAAATTATATCTACTGCGTGAAAATCACGAAATTTCTGTGCGTTGCAGATTTGGAATTTGGCATGTCACAAGGGGCCTTTTTACGGCTCTCTGTGTCGCGAGTCCGCGTTGTGCAACCTCGCCGACGGGCGAGTGAAATTTCTGATAAAAAACCGCGCACACTCGGACAGAGGCCGAACTGTAATCTAGCAGTATGTATGCGCCGGCCGTGCCCGACCTCCTTCTCGTCTTTCGCTTCTTGTGCGCTTTGTCAGTGCGCGCGCTTATTACCGTTTAGGTAATTTTATTGCGGCGCGCCGCGCTAGCCCAGCCGATACATTAGTTAATTTTATTTGTGCTGCTTATAAGTTGTGCGCCCGTGGCGCAATTATTTATTGATAATAAGTTAGCGGCTTTATTATTCTCGTTTCATGTTCCGCGCGCGCGCGAGGCGGCTGAAATTATGTGCGCGAACTAAAACACACACGCGAATGAAAGTTTCGCTGGTAGCGTGTTACAATATTACTGTTAATTTCATTTCTTTCGATCGCGTCTTGATAGGTATAAATAGAGACTATATTGTTTTGCAACTAGACAATTTAATTAATTTACAGCTCAAGGGCAAATAGTATATGGATATATTTTTGTTGAATTTAATTTTTTCACAAATATTATAGTTTTACTGCCTTAGGGCCTCAAATATTTTATCACCTCACGTTGAAAAAAAGCAAAAACAACAACAAAGAATACTAAATATTTTAAATCATCGTATTGTTTCAACTTGTAGGCAGTTTTTGTAAAACACTACGCGATTTTTATGCGAATTTGTACAAATGACGAACTTGAACGACTTTCTCTCACTTAATCCATGTAACCTTCACGCAGTCGATCTCTATTAGAATCACGTTGTTGCTGTTCTCCATTGTTCGTGTCAATTCGTGTTCGGAGAACGCTACAGCACTCTGATAACGCAATTATTTTACTCCCGACTTCTGTACGTTTCAATGCCGTTCCATTAGCAGCCATTGTTGCGTTCCGCATAATAATAATAATAATACGAAAAAACATTCCAAACAACGGGAAATCTGTCACCCATATTTGCAGTTTACAGCAAAAAAAGCATCTAAACCAAGTTAATTGCGAGTAACGTTTGTCGCATCCAACAGCATCCGAAAAATCGTGTCATGTTAACTTGCGTGAACATAATAAACCTTGCTAATTTGCAGAAGACACTAAAAATGTCATTATGTTGAAGTGTTGAAACTTTTTCTGTTCGTAAGAATAGTGTAGTGTATTTATAATTTAAACTGTATGCTTACCAAAATAATGTGTAAATTGTTGTGTGTAATGTAAAATGTTAGTAATTATCCAATTTGATGTTTGCAACTTTTGCAAAACCGCATGGGAAATATGGTAACAATATTATGATGCTCGAATTCTAATTAATTCGAAGGACAAATTAAAATACAAACAACATCGCGAGTTTTCTCATACAAAAGATTACCATAATTTAAAATAGAAGAAATTATTAATAATTATTTTTAATTATTCCTGATTTACGAGTATTGCGAGATTCTCATTGAAAATTTTCGTTTTCAACGCAGTTTTGTAGTCTTCAGTTTAAGTTTGAAGATCGGTTGAATTCATGTTGTTGCGCGGAACTCATTCGTGCATATCTCAAACCGCAAATACCGCTTACGTTGAGATGTCTACAAGTTTAGATAATGAAGGAACGTTTAATGGCCGCTTGGTCGTTATTTGCTCTTGTTTTCCGTTTCCAACTTCGTCACTAATATTCATTGTTTATTGTTGCAGCACGCAAGGAGGTACGGAATTTGTCCGAAGCTTGGCTCGTCCACGATCTGTAAGTACACCACACATTCATTGCCCATTGCAATAACAATTGATTCCGGCGATCCGGGCGCCGATAGGCGCGTTCGTTATTTATACGTTTGATGATCTTGACTCTTGGCCGCGTGACGCAATCGGCGGTTTTCACTTTTAACAGCGGAATGCGCATCGCTTATATCGATAATAATCTCAAACCGGCAATGTAAACCAACTGATTGTTGGCTGCCTAATGCCGCCGCGGTGTGCATGCGTTTGTTGTATTTGTCATAAAGTTCGCTCTTGAATGACGCCAAATTACTGTAATTTTCGATTGTAAAATCGAGACCGGCCAGAGTTGCCAGTCGAAGCAATTGAATCGAATGGGTCGTGCACGATGATGATCATGATAATGATGATGGTATGGATATCGAAATGAAAAGTTAAATTGTTTACGTGCGAATAGTGCCAATATCATCAATATCAAACCATGGAATGTGGAAATATTTGGCAATGTAAAAATAATATAATAACAAGTGCGTAGATGAATAAAAACAAAACATGAAAAAAATGATTGCTCTACTCTATTTTATGCTCACGTCCTTCAGTGGTTCTTCTTATAAACAATTATTATTAAATTTGTGGTTAAGATACACTTGATTCGCTCAAAGTAGATTATGTTATGAAGTTATGGTGTCAAAAACTCTACAGTCAAGTGAGAACAATAAACTAATTGCGAATTTCCTTGACACATAATATTCAGAGATACGCGCATTGTGTAAGTGAATTGAATAGTTGTCGGTTGCGCTACGATAAATAAATTTATTATTTATATTATTCAAAAATTCACCAATCCATTGTTTGATTATGCATTCAAAGTACGTCTGCACAATTCAAAGCTTTTCTAGTATCTAGTATATTCAATTTGTATACGAAATTGTTTATGATAATTGCACACACATAATGCAGGCAACATTTGAAATCGGAATGTATTCCTAAATGGAAACGCTGTAGACGCGGGCGTGCTTTGCAACTTGTGTAATTTTTAAATTGATTTATTGACAACTGAGAGTTTTATTTGAATTTATATAAGCGGGCTGATTAGAGATTTTGAAGCGGCACAAAGGTGCGGAAAAAGTTTAGTATCCAATTTCTTCGCTTGACATAACTATAACTTGCATGAAATATGTTTATTGCTTTACACATGGCTATAAAAATGAATTCAATTAATCGATTGATCGATCTAAATGCCATGTGAGCATAATTCTACATCACATATATTGGAATATATAAAAAGGTGTTACTGTACTTGTTTAAGAATTTCGTTATTTGAAAAAAAAACGTAGAAATTATTCGTTTTTTCTAATTTATTTTTAACCTAGTGTGAGGAATAGAAAATTTTAGTTTGTGCAGCCGCCGCTGTTGCGCTGGCAGTTCCAGCTTTTTTGTTTGGTGGCGCTGATCGCGTTCACATAACCAAACATTATAACAAGTTTTATTAATTTTTAATGTTCAACATCGTATTTTATAAATTGATACTTAATCAATTGAATTATTCGTATTTGAAATTAGACCGCTTTAACTAGCCACTATTTCCTCACAAGTTTTAAATTGCCATCTATATCTCTGCATTTAACGATTGCGGAAACGTCGCACACGGCAAATGAACAATGATAAAACTCTACCAGCGGCGGCGCAATAAAACATTTTGGACGCTCGATAAATTCCGTTTCGTTACGTTTCGCAAAAGTAAAATTTACGGCACAATAAAAAGATTTGCATAATTTTCTCCCCACTTTCGCTTTGATCTTTGTCGCTGTCGCTTGGCGGCTCACGTGCATAAAGTATGGAATTTTAAGTGTCGCACGCAAAAACAAATTGCACTTGGCACGAGCCTACACATCGCCGAATATGAACAATGTGCGCAAGAAGCGGGTTCGTATTTCCAATTTTGATGATAATGTTTCGCCTGATTTCCGCATTTGCGCCACACACGGAGTTTTCAAATTTGCATATAAAACGGACGCGAGTTCGAAACAGATTCCTTTTCGGCAGATGCATGTTTAAATTTATGGCTGTTGCATCACGGGAAGAGAATTATATGCGACGAGAACCTGTTAGTTAGATTTACAATAAATTCGAGGAAGAAATTGAAAGTTTGCTATAAAACACGGGAATTTATTTCGTTTTCAACACGTTGTGCTTGGAAGTTGGATTATTCAAAGAGCATATTAACATTTTACACGCATATTGAATGTTCCAGCATTATAATCCGCTTGAAATTTAAGAATATGGATATTGTAAGCCAGATAATAAATTCATAATCGTAAAAGTCTCGTGGGTACCTATGTTAATATTTTCATTAAAATCTACAAATAGTCTTTAAAAGTCAAACGAAGTTATTTCAATCAACCTAGCGACACTAACAAGGAACCTTTTAGGAAACTTTGAGTTTAAATAAATTATCGCCATCTCATCATGTTGAATCCTCAGGAATGTTAATCTAAAAGATTTATATTTATTAAATTATTTTTATTTTGGTGATGAATAAATTAGCCAGAGATTACCTACATGATTTACGCAGCATATCAATTATTAAAATTATAATCCAACAAGTCAAAGCAATTTTTATTAGTATTAGAGTTATTGTCCATATAGCAACAAATCTAACAAGTTCAGGACTCTTTATATACCTACTAGTGAATGAAAGGTGTTTGATATTGGAGGCTCATTAAAAAGGCAATTTCGCCGCCTGGAAATGGACTTGGACTTATGGGAAATTAATAAATCTGCATGTTATGTTATCTGCATGTCTCGTAAATCACCGAGATTGACATGGTTCAAATACCATCAGCAATATAAAGAGCTATTTTGTGCGTTCATGCAATTACATTATTTCAATTATTTTGTGGGGGTTATGATGTTTGATTCAAAAGTTGGGTTAATTAAGTCAATTACGCATGCACAAAATACAAAATCACAAATTTTCTTAAATTTTCTGCTGATTTTACAAAATTGACAAATAATTTGAACATTGAAGTAACTTTAATTAAAATTTTATAAAATACTCCTCAGGATATTGCTAAAACGGTTTAACCATTCATCATTTATTATAATTTGTTAAACCTAGCAATTAGTTACTAATTATTCAACATTAAACTTATTATTCATTGTCATATAGGCAAATATACTGCTCATTTATGATGATTGAAGTATGCTAATGAACTTAGCTATACTGGATTAGCGTGTAACTCAATTTAAGTTTATAGTTTGTAGAGTTTCCAAGTGCAAATAAAAACATGGTCATCGCAAACAATTATTAAAGTTTAATGTAAGAATGCAAGTAATTGTCTGTAATTTAATCGAACGTAAATTCGTGAACACGAACAAACGATCAATTCGCATATTCAAAGTTTTAATTCGATTCACATTTTTGCGTCTCACTGCACACAAGTAAGCAATTTAGCCAACAGTAAATACTAAATTAAACTTGCGAGAACAAAAACTCATAAACAAATAATACTACACGCGAGGTAAACGCGCTCATAAGCTATGTGGTTAATTAATTTAATTGTTAAATTAAAGCCCATAAAACACGCATACACAGTTAGTCAAATTAATATTGTTCATTGTTGTACAAATTATGATCGCTCATTTTGCAGGCGAGGAGTTGAAAAGTTTTAAATGTCCATGAAATTGTCATTCTGAGATGATGAGCAATTTTGTATTAATAAGCTATTTACACAAAACATTAATTAAGATTTGTGAACGGTGGATTGTGCTTTGTTGCGTGGCATGCATCTCTTAATTAGGATCTTGATTATAACCTCGGTCATTTTTCATCAATTTATTGATTCGCCATCATCTCCTCAGGACCGCGCTCGTTGCGAGATGCTCAGCGATTAATAAACGCATGCCCGACGAAGCATGACCGAAATGACTGACAGCGCCGCATCTCGCATATCGGAGAAAAGTTCGACAAACGGCTCCGGGCGGGAACAATCGCTCGCCCATCGTTAAAAAGAGTTAAAAGAGTTCGATCGCACTGGAAATTGAGCAATCACAGGCGCACCGTTTACAGTTAGCCCCGTGCACACTCCAAACGCCAAAGACTTAGACCCGCGTGGACCTTTAGACCCACTCTCTTGCACAATATATCTCTCGCACCGAAAATGATTTATTAACATCGATTAAAAGACGATTAATATATATCTTTAGTAAATATGGGATGCGCCCAAGTGTTTGGTGTCACACCGCAATACGTCTTTATCGTTTTTTATTGGGTTGGATAATGTGCTTAATATTTGCATATTTTGACTCTGTTAGTATATCGCGCGCGGAATTTTACTACTATCAACTATAGGAACGATAAATCACGCCTGGATATTAGAAGTAAGCAGTTGTTCCGAACGCCTGTTGGTTGGAGCGGCGAAAAAAATGCTCCGCGTTGCTCAAAAGCCGTTATAGTTCACAGTTTCGAATGCGGCGCTCGTACATTACCTTTTGGCGTTTCTTCGGCGTGCGCACAACCGAAAATTATGCCAACAATAGAAGGTCGTGATCTCCAAGTTCGAATGACTTGCGGCATGTTTGTTACTACGTGCGACGAGCGTAAAAAGCGGTTAAGGGACCTTCAACTTCCTGTTTCCGTCGCGTCTTGACGCAATACCAAAATTAAATCCAAGAAAATTTGATTGGTAACCGAAAGTTGGGTTATTGAACATCGCGCATGCGCAACATGTAATTTTTCGTTATGTTCATTGGCATAGTATTAATTTAGGATACTTTTACATATCATTATTCCCACACAATTTCATATCATTCAATTTAACATATTTATTCGCCTACGCACCTCGGCTACTTTGCTACCTGGCTGATTGTGTTTTTTTGCGCATTGTTTCGCAAGACGAAATCGCATACGCGGCTCAAAACAGCGACACTTTAACAATCTTAATATTAAATCACAAAATAAAACCTTGCAGGTTTTGATTCAATTTTTTTTTTCTCGCATATTTCGCACACTTTATTAGTGCTTGT